ATGCTCTTATTTACAGGATCACACTGTTTCCCATCAAAATGTCATACTGTGGAAATGATGAGTGCCGTTAGATTACAGCCCAGCAAATGCCTCACAGCAAGGTTTGGACATTGTGTACAAATCTGCAGGAACAAGTGAGAATACTGAATAAAACTTTTCCTTTATCTCTTTTTTCTCTAGGATAGAGAAGGCACAGAAGACTGGAGAAGGAAACTAAAATCAGATACTCCTTAAGGGACCAGTGAGCAGTATTTGATGTCTAAGCCAAATTAACTTCAAGGGGATGGCAGCGTCGTGACTGATTCAGAAATGCTCCTACTCCAGCTCAAATTCCCTGTGGAGAAATGCAACACCACACTTGCATCTTTTTTTCTGCTGCACAGAAAACAGTCTTCTACAAAACTCTGGCTGATTGGCAAAAGAAGAATTAAACATTTATGTGGCAGATGGATCAGATGTGTGCACTGTCACTCATTCATTAGTACAGACACTTAACAAGGATAGGTTACGTATTGTTGCCACCCCGGAGGCAGAAGGCTCTGTATGAGCAAGTCATGGAGATTTGGGGAGTCCAGCAGTTTTCCACCCACACAGTACAACCTTTTCCTAACTGATAAAAAATAATTTCAGTACTTCTGTTATGAACAAGATAACTGTGGTGATGGATGAGTCAGAATTTTATACCTTTCCTCATCACCACCAAAATCTGCAATTATATCTCCATCTTTCTTCCCTACTTAAACGTTTGCAAAATCTGTCCAGCCAGTGAGAAATAAGAAGCTATAAACTTGCGAAAGGAATACTAAAATGTAGCTCTTTCCTGTATTCTGCAAGCAATCTTTGAGTTGACAGTAAAAACCTTTACATTTGAGATACATACAGAATCTGAATTGCTAGCTTTAGTACTTAKTGTGCAAAGGTGACACTTTTAATATTCATCTATTTTCAGAAGGATGGCTTCAGAGCTACTACCAGGATTGAGACAGTAATCTATACCACAAAGATTACTCAGAAATCCTATTTGCAAAGCAAGTCCTATTAAAACACCCCAGCCTCTGAACTTCTCCTTGAGTCAATTATTGCCCAGTCCCAACTATCTGAAARGCTTACTTAGGTTTTTTACACTGGAAGAAATGGCTGTGACAGATTCAAACAAACACTGAAGCAATTTAATGAAGCTAATCGGCCGGCAATTATCAGATGAGACCATAAAGGAAGAGCTAAGAGTGTGGAGTTAAATCCATAAAGCTGTGCTATGTTAACCCAGTAGGGTAAGATGGAGCAAACATATACAAATATCCAGYAGAAGTGGTATCAACACAATAAGTGGAACTGCTGGAAAAGGCAGAGGCTGTTGCATCTACACAGCAAGCCAGTTAAAGTTAAGGAATTTGTTTAATAAGGGAAAGCAAAATGGTCCCAATTACCAGCCTGCATTACACAGTACGAAGGCAAYGGGCAAGGCTGCAGGGACGTGCCATCACGGAGACCTATTGCTTGGGCCAACAGCAATTCAATAGCTCCCTTCTGACCCAAAAAATCCYATGGTTCTTTGAGAAAAACATGGCTTAGCTGGGTTTACCCTGCACACTTATAACCTGTTTTTCTTTTGCTGTGAAGATACCTGCAGGGAATGAACTCAAAGGCCGAGCCTGGAACAGCCCTCGCCTCCACAAATGGGTGTTASAACACGACAGTAGATGGCACTGCTCGAATGCAGTGCGAGCCGCACGCTCCCTGCAAACGCAGCCCAGATAAAAGGGGCTGGTAAGGCACACTGGGGAAAGACTGGTTCGTGCATAACACAGATTTGTAACAATTAAAACCGATGCCATTTGCTTTAGGGAGAGTCCTAGCCTTCCTATCTGTTCCTCAGCAAGAGCTAAACTGCAGGGCCAATATGTTAGCAAAGGATTTAGTTTAAAATTGCAGGAGAACGCATCCAAAAGTTCATTTGCTGCACTCCCGCTCCCACCTTGCAAACCTTAATGGCTTTTGCCAACACCTACTTCAAGGGGATGGGCACCAGATRTTATACCTTACATAAGCGTAGATGGGACAAACCGTTGTGGATTTTAGTGTGAGTACTACTGGCACAYTACTTAAGAGAGCTTACTTCTCAATGTCCTACTTTCAGCTTGCAGGGGGAAAGGTCTGCAGGGACAGCAGTTTCAGGGCTCCAGCAGTGGTCAAGTAAAAGGCCATTCTGAAAGCTGTTCCAGATGGAGATGCACAAACTTGGTGCAAGGAATAAAAGGTTTATATATGTATATATACATAAATACATGTAAATATGTATGTATGCATGTACCTACATACTGTGGGTTTTTCATACACTTATACAGTACATAAAAGACTTCTTTCTTAGTCCTTTAGCAAAGCAGACAAAATACGAAACAGTTTAGGTGCACAATACCCAAACATTTACTCATTTGCCAGAACACAGACAATTTTTACCCTGAATTGGACAAATCTTGCAAAAAAAAAAAAAAAAATTATACCTTTTCAGGTACCATAAGGGCTTAGAAGCTAGACCTAATTTATACAGCTACATTGTCAATATTCCAAAATCACTCCGTGTTAAATATCCTTCTTACCAATTACGTTCTCCACAACATAGTTTAGGGTCAGTATCTTCCTTTAATTCAAGCCCTAAAAGCTATTCCCAAGACAACTCTGCCATCAGAAGGGGAAGCATTTAAAAACCACGCTTCCTAACACAGCAAATAGCCTGCAGGTTAAGGCATCCTTGGTATTTTAGTAATTTATACATGGCAGTATCACATACTGCAATGCACTTCTCGCTGTACCTTACCCAACTGTTAAACACCAGAAAGGCATGAAGGGAAAGCTGCCAATACGTTCTGCACATATGGGCAAGTGCAGCTAGCTCAGAGATGTGAAGCAAGGCAGGAAAGGACAGAGGTCATCTCACCCTGGGCCTCTGAAGGCTGATTTGGCACCAGGCAGGYCCACACCCACTCTCACCTGCGAGTGCTGGGCAGCAGGCATTCTTTAGCACAAGGGAAAGCTGCCGAGAGGGTTTCAGCAGACAGAGTTCACCTTTCCACCAGCAGGTGTGCCAGGCAGCTTGGGTCCAGGCAGGGCCACTGCAAGGAATGTCACTGCAGGCAAAYCCTGCCACAAAGCCCACCACAGTYAAGAGGGAAAGACACACTGGTAGCCCTGTTCTAAATTCCATGCTATTTCTGCAGTGTTTTCAAGTGTTAAGGGAACTGAATAGCAGTCACACCCCACATATGTCTTCAAGGGAAAACAAAGAAGCTTTTCCTTTCCCTTCTGGGCTCTTCTTGCAGAGCACTTCCAGCTAAAATCATTCTTGCCTGGAGTCAAATTATATGTCAGATTGTTCAYTTAGTCAGGAGTCATACACTGTGCATCTACCTCTTCCATTACTTAAAAGAAAACTTCAAAATATTGTGTTACAAGACCTATATCTGAAGCAGAGACAAGAAAAGCTTCCCTAATTTGTTACAATTATCTTTAACATTTGAAGGATTGGTGTGAAAAACTCAAAAGGAGTTGTCTAAGCTGGCTGCTAGCATGCTACACATGCAGAGTAAATTAAGTCAATTACCTTGAAAAGATTTTATATTGATCCTTTGGCTAACAAGTAAGATTAACAACAAAGCAAGATCAGCAGTCAGAATAAAAACAAGTACATTAGTCCCTGATTATTGAGTTCCRTCATGCAACATACACAGAAGCAAATCATTGTGTAATATTGTTCAATGAATGAGCAAAAATATTAAACATCTGGTCTTCCATTAAGCAATGAGTCATTTTTAAACAGGATGACAATTGAATTATCTCAAACTATGTTTTCAAGTATCAGTGTAATAGCAAAGCATAGACTAATCTCAAACTTATTTTTAGATGAATTATCTTCGTTTTTTACATTGAGTACTATGCATATAATGTAATAAAGAAGTGTCATCAATCAGACCCAAAAAACCCATCAGTACACTCCAGCCAGATAAGGAAACAAAAATTTATTAGAAACTGGTAGTTTTACAGAGCTAAAAAGGTAAACATACATTTATGTAAAATGGAGATAAGGAGACAAAGGAATACACAATTGAACAGTCATCATCAAGGCACATAATGAAAAATCAAATCTGAAACAGCTCATCTTTTCAACATTTGAAAAGGTCACCATCATTTCAGTACTCACAATGGCACTTGCACACTATGAACAAAATGGAGCAAGTCTAGAAGATAGAAACTGCCAAAGTCATCTTTACATCACACACACTATACATTTGCTCATTGGTCACAATCAAACAAAACTGTCAGCAACTGATTTCACAAATCCCACAAAGGTACAAGAATATTGGCAAAACCAAGAAACACTCAGACCAGAAAGGCATTATATGTATAAATGATTTTGATAGAATGACTTTTTGTTTCTTTTTTAAAAAGTGCAAAGTCCAACGTTTCCCTAAAGGGAAGGCCAAAATACAGCTAGAGCTGCCATTCTCTGAAATCTGATAAAACAACATTTTATAGTACAGGTTTTATGGAGTTATATATTAATTTATYGAGAATAAACACCAGCCATGGAAGCACTGAACACAGATTTGCATGTGATTGCTATTTGAAAGGTATGGCCCAAATGGTATGTGGAACAGGGGAGGTTCAGGCAGTTATTTTTGCTTATTTGTCTGTTGAAAAAAAACAAACAACAAAAACTAATAACCAAAAAGCCCTCCTCCCCCCAAAAGAAGAATTAAAAAGAAGACCCTTAATGAACTTAACAGAACAAAGTTCTTCCTTCAAAGTAATCCAATTTCAAGAAGTGGTCTAAGAGCGTTGCTTTTAGAAGGTCAAGGTAAGTATAATCCCGAATTTACCAAGATCAAGACACTAAACATTACAGAACGCAAAAAAAA